ATATATATTAACAATAGGCTACTATGAATGGCGAGCTACTGTTTGTAACAACAATTTGGGGTTGCAAACAGTAGCACTTTGTTGTTGTTCGCAGTCTCAAATTGCTATTGCAAATAATAGTTATTTGCGTGATGCCTAGCAATATATAAGTATAATTTATATATATATATATATATATATATATTATTAATATTATATTTTTATTTTTTTTATTTTATGCAACTTGTAATTATATTTTTAAATATTTAATTTGATCAATTCTTTTATTATAAATTTTATTGTTCAATATTGTTATAAATTTCTAATGAAATGGTTTTTTGTTGTTGATGTTTATTAATAATGTATATATATAAATAATTAGCTTATAAGTCTCAGCATACTATGGATAAAAATAATAATGTTGAGAATGTTGATATAGGGTGAAAAACTATATAATAAGAAGAATTTTATGATATATTATAAATGTTTTGTAAGAAAATTATAAATGATAAGAATCAAAATCATTGAAAGTTTGTAAGGATGTATTCAATTTAGAATTTCAATAACTTTTGTAGACTTTTTAAAAGAAAAAGTTGATAAAAGTCTATGAATTTTTTCATATAGACTTTTATAGAGTCTTATAAAGTTTTAAAAAATTTTGAACGACTCTATGAATATCAATCAAAGTTTATTAAAATCTATCATTTTAAAAGTCTTTAAAACTCTACAAAAGTCATGATTGAATACACCCCTAGGATTCTATTCTTGTACATGTCAAACTAGGATTCTAATCTCATTCCTTGTTATATATCTCTTGTATTATTCCTTTTCATTAATCTCATTCCTTGTTATATATCTCTTGTATTATTTCCTTTTCATTATTAATCCAATACTACAGTTTTGGCATAGTTCTCTTGGAATTGATATCTTGGAATTGACAACGGGAAGAGAACGGTGACTGGAAATGAAGATATGAACCTGGCACAATGGGCACACAAACACCAAAGAGAAGGGAACTCAGCTGTAGATGCCTTAGATGAGGAGATCAAGGACCCACGGTATCTAGAGGCAATGATCGATGTTTTCAAATTAGGCCTTGCATGCACTTTGAATTCCTCATCAAGCAGAACGTCCATGAAAGATATTTCACAGATTCTTCAAAGATACAGCGAAAACAATCATTTGTCTCTAGAGAGCCAATAGACAATATAATATTGACACTTTACTTTTGAATGGACTTGTTCCATTACAAAATATTTTGCAATGGTTTGTTTTATTTAATTTGACTATTGCACTCACAATGCAATTATGCAGGATCCATCATAATTCATATTTCATAATGCAACTCCACTTTGTTTCCTTGATTTTCTTAGATGTTAAAGTGATAAATAAACTTTCTGGAGCGCAATCGTAATTGCATTGGAGTTCCAAAATTAATAATATTCACAGGAATTGAAACAGGCAACTTAACAATTTGGAGGAATTAATGAAGCATGTTTACCTGTTCACAGGCCTCGCTTGCGTCTTCAAGCTCGTACGATCAATTATATACACCATGATTGCATCAAGATATCAACTCTAGCAACATAGTCTTAAAGTCCCAGAGTCTGAATTCAATACTAAGATTGCAGGCTTTGCAAGGTGGACACAGTTCTAAAACTGTTCATAATTATGAATATAAGTTCAAAAATTATAAACATATAGTTTTATAATTATGAACATATAATTTTGAGATTATAACTATAGAGATTCAATAATTGTGAATATGAAGTTCAAAAATTATGAATATATAGCTTTATAATTATGAACATATAGTTCAGTAATTGTGAATATAGTTGAATAATTATGAATATGAAATTCAAAAATATGAATATATAGCTTTATAATTATGAACATATAATTCAATAATTATGAACATAGAACAGTGTCTACCTTGCAAGGCGGTTCCATAGCATAACGATTGATTGAAGTAAACGCCGGGTCATTAACTCAATTCTATGTATTCTGGTCCAAATATGTTACACTAAAATCCAAGTATTTAAATTGAATTTTGGTTTAGAAATCCGTTAGCAGAGTATGTAGACTCCAAGCAATCGTTATACCCTACACCACGGTGTGCGTAGCACGGTGCGCCGCGCGCCTCCCAAAACAACGTCGTTTTGGGAGGTGCGGTAGAAAATTGCTATGATTATGTATATTTGTTCATACAATTATGTACATTTGTTCATATAATTATGTGCATTCTTTTTATACAATTATGTACATCCGAATAAGGAAATTTATGTGTATTATGTTAAGAGTTGATGTGTATTATGTTAAAAGTTTATATTTATTATGTATTATGTTAGATTATGTGTATTATCTCTTAAAAAAGAGTATGTATGTTTTGTTATATAATTATGTACATTCATGTATACAATTATGTGTATTCTAGTATAACATTATGTACATTTTTGAACATTTAAAGAAAAATTAACTGCCAAACACTGGGGCGGGAATTTTCAAAAAAAAAATAAAAAAATTGAAACGACGTCGTTTTGCATCTGGGCGCACAATGCAACGCGCGCCATGGTGCAGGATATAAATTGCCTGGTAGTCCAAGTCCACCCAACGTAATTTATGGTTCAAATCGAGCAATACAGATAGTTATGCTGTGCATCCGTATGCACCATGCATGGTGCATACGGATGCCAAAACGACGTCGTTTTATTAAAAAACGCGCGTCTCCCCTTTAAAAAAAATTCAGGTTCGATTCCAGCAACAACATTATATTGTTCATTCATTCTGGAATTTTAGTTCATAGATTATGGAATTATAGTTCATTGATTATGGAATTATAGTTCATCGATTATGGAATTGTAGTTCATCGATTCTGAAATTTTAGTTTATAGATTATGGAATTTTAGTTCATTAATTCTGGAATTTTTAGTTCATAGATTAGATTATGGAATTTAATTCATCGATTATGGAATTATAGTTCATCGATTATGGAATTTTAGTTCATATGTTGTTGCTGGGAATCGAACCTGATTTTCTTTTTTAAGGGGAGACGCGCGTTTTATTAAAACGACGTCGTTTTAATAAAACGCGCGTCTCCATACGGATGCACAGCATAATTTGCCGAGCAATACACCAATCAAGTCATTCTCATAGTCAGGACTAATTTTTTAGGACAAATTATAAACAAGAACACGAATTATAATTGAATTTTAAATACTTTGTAATTAAGTAGAAGATTTTTTTTATTTTTTTATTTGGTAGCAAATTATATTGCCATCAAATTAATTAATTAATTAATAATAAATAAATATATATATAAAAATATATAATACACGCACATATGTGAGTGTGTGTATTAGTTATTTTGACAAGTTTATTTCCTCTCGCTTCTTTGCGACTTATTCTCTCTCATTTCTTTGGCAAGTTCTTTTTTCATTAATGTGAAACGATTTAATTTATCAAGGCGTATGTTTATCTCATCTTGAGCAACGAACAAGATCTGAACCATGATATGCAGTTCAGATTAATAAAGATATTGTCTACGGACAGATGAGCTGCAATAGTTACTCAGGTGGTATGCAAGACTTCTCAAATAGAGTCAGTGTTGGATAGCCAGATCATTAACAACATCAAAGAAGCTTCAAGTTACTCCATTGAATTCAGCTTCAATTTTGTAACACAGTTTGCGATTCAAGTTTCTTTTAGCATTGCTAGGAAAGTTGTTTCTATGTTTGACTGTAAAGAATTTTTATCATTTTATCGATTTTTATTGTAACTGTTTCAACTTATGATTAATGAATTAGTTCTTTATTTTCAAAAATAAAAAATAAAAAAGAATGATTTCTTTATTTTTTTCTTCATCATTTTTTATTCCATTGTTCAAAAGTAAGGGAACAAAAATGGTAGTGAGTTTTAAGATTTATGAACGATTTCAATTCAATAGTAGTATAAGAAGAGTAGTCCTCATAGGGAGTCCAAATGAGATGATTCAAGTGTCAAAGGAAAGATAAGGAAGTCCTCAACAACTTTAATATTGAACATTTTGAGAGATTCCGGATGCATTCATACCAGAATATCATAACATTCAATTCGGACACGTCCTGAGGAATTTGTCTTGCAACAAGTTGATAGTGTTTTGATCATATCTCCTTAATATAAAGTCCAATCAAGGTGATTCAAGTGACTATGGAAAGCTAAGAGAGTGTCCTGCAACTTTTATGTTCAAAGTTTTTTCATATTCGGAACAAAACAATACCAAACTTGATTGCCTAGTTGTATTTCCAGTTTGTTTGGTGATTTAATATAAATTCTGTTCTTTGGTTTTAAGGAAAAAAAAAAAAAAAAAACATAGCCAAAAATTAGACTCTGTTTAAATTTTCAAATATGGAATAATCAAATCATTCAAATGTGGCAGCTGTCCAAAGTCGGAGTTGGAGTAGGGAGGGCAGTATGATTGGTTGAAGCAAATCCTAAGGCTCATGTTCTCGACGGTCTAACACTTCTCCATATTCATTCATCTAATATTATATAACATCTATACAAAACTAATAAATAAATAAAATAAAGAAAAAAAAAACCCCAATGAAGAATCCAAAATTAAAAATTTTAATCTCCCAAAAAAGAAATTGTGAAAATACATTATTGTTTTTAATTGTGAGTTTAATGAAACTATCTACCACTAACTTGTTCAAAAACTCTCAAGTCAAAGTTGGACTTTGGACAGTAAACTTCTTTGATATACAAGAACATAATAGACGAGAGCAATTGCTAGCTCCTTCGATCCTCACCATCTTATTATTATTAGCTGAAAATGGTGGTGCACCACCCTATTCATCATGCCTTCTTCTTCTTCATGCTCCTTTTCTCCTTCCCAAATTATTCACAATCTTTAACCACTCATGGGGACGATGAAAGGGCTATTTTACTTATCCTAAAACAACACTGGGGTATCCATTTTCACTATTTGAGCAGTGAACTCCATTTCCTCCCCATGTGACTGGCCTGGAATTCATGCAACTTCAATGCAAGTGTCACACGGATATCTCTCTCTGGAATGAGCATCCAGGATCATTCCCGGCCTCAAACTATTATATGCCAGCTCAAACAACCTTGTTTCAATCAATTTCAGTTCCAATAGTCTCTGGGGAACTATACCAGCTAACCTCTCCAGCTGCTCAAAGCTTGAAACCTTGGATCTATCCACAAATCATTTGGCAGGAAAAATAGCAGGTGAGTTGTTTTTCCATGAAAACCCTGCGTAGTTTAAATCTTCAACACAACATGTTTTCCGGTGAGATATCAACACCCATGGTGGCTTATAGTTTGGAGTCTCTTGATCTTTCAAGTAACCATTTGAATGGATCAATACCAGATGATATAGGAAATTTTTACAACCTTAGCTACTTAAATTGTCCATGAATACTTTGAGTGGTCCAATACCTGCCTACATTGTTGCGGTTGCATCAACTCTCTCATCTTTCACTTGCCTCAAACAATTTGACTGGTGAAATTCCTGCTAGATTATTTGACTTGCTTAGTCTGAGTAGCATAGATCTTTCTCATAATCATCTGAGTGAAGTATTCCAAGAGGCTTTGGAGAACTACATCAATTGCAGAATATGATGTATCATATAACAAATTTTCCGGAGACATATGTGAATCTGTTAGCCATATGTGGGATGCCGAGACTAACCCTTAGGATGTGCAAGAACCACTTTTCTGGGAGAATACCTTACGAGCTAGTAAAGCTAAAATTTGTGGACACATGCCTTGATCATGTGAATTATGTTCAGAACAGCTGTTTTCTAGCTCTGAACAAATGGTTATGGAACTCCCAACATGCCCTTCCCAAAGCTTTTCGGGATTATACAATTCCACTGCACATAAACTGCAGAAGTTCAATGAGCTAAGTAAATCAAACAAAACCCAACCTTCGAAACCAAATCATACGAGGATTGTAACTTGTGTCGTGATTGCAGCGGCAGTAGTACTCATCATTGGGATAGGAATTCTGATACTGGTGTTCAGACCTAGGGTGGGAAGAGAAAACAAAGTGATGGAGAAGAATGGAGTATGATTTCATTTCAAAAGGTTGGAATTCAATAAATGGGATATTTTGAGTGGTTTGATAGATGAAAATTTGATTGGAAATGGAGGTCAGGAAAAAGTATATAGAGTGATTACCAAGAAAGGCCAAAGAGTTGCTGTTAAAAGTATAAGGCATGAACAAAAGCAAGGCATGGATTAATGGAGAAACAGTTCATAGCAGAGGTTAAGATCCTTGGGGGAATTTGGCACAACAACATAGTGAAATTGCTATGCTGCATCAGAGAAAGACGACAAAGCTTCTTGTGTATGAATACATGGACAAACAATGCCTTCATAAATGGTTGCATGGAAAGAAGAAAGGCTTAACTACTCAAGTCTTGAACTGGGAGACAAGACTAAAAATTGCCATTGGAGCTGCACAAGGCCTCTGCTATATGCATCATGATTGCAGTCCACCCATTGTTCATCGAGATATCAAATCCAGTAACATACTCGTCGACTCTGACTTCAATGTCAAGATTGCAGACTTTGGACTGGCAAAGATGATGGCGAGTGAAGGAGATCCAGAAACAGCATCTGCTATTGTGGAACCTTTGGTTACATTGCCCCGGGTACATTTTTTTTATATCTTCATCACTTCAATTCCCACTGCTTTTTATACCTGCAGAATCACATATATCATGGGAATGCAGAATACAGCAGAACAAAAAAGTGGACGCGAAGAGCGACATCTACAGTTTTGGCGTAGTACTCTCGGAATTGACAACGGGAAGAGAAGCAGTGACAGGAAATGAGGATATGAACCTGGCACAATGGCACACAAATACCAAAGAGAAGGAACTCGGCTGCAGATGCCATAGATGAGGAGATCAAGGACCCATGTTATCTGGAGGCAATGATCGTTGTTTTCAAATTAGGCCTTGCATGCACTTTGAATTCCCCATCAAGCAGGCCGTCCATGAAGATATTTCACAGATTCTTCAAAGATACAGCGAAAACAATCATCTGTCTCTAGAGAGCCAATAGACAATATAATATTCCACTTTACTTTTGAATGGACTTGTCCCATTAGAAAACATTTTGCAATGGTTTGTTTAATTTAATTTGACTATTGCATTGACAGTGCAATTATGCAGGATCCATCATAATTCATATTTCATAATGCCAACTCCACTTTGTTTCCTTGATTTTCTTAGATGTTAAAGTGATAAATAAACTTTCTGGAGCGCAATAGTAATTATATTGGAGTTCCAAAATGAATAATATTCACAGGAATTGAAACAGGCAACTTAACCATTGGAGGAATTAATGAAGCATGTTTACCTGTTCACAGGCCTCACATGCGTACGATCAATTATATACACCACGATTGCATCAAGATATCAACTCTAACAACATACTCTTAAAGTCCCAGAGTCTGAATTCAATCAGACTTTGGATTAACAAATATGTCAGCAATTGAAACAAATCCAAAACATGCTAGTGTGGAACCTTTTGTTACATTGTCCCAAGTATGTTTTTCATATCTTCAATTAACACTTAAATTTTTTTGATGTGTTCTACACCTAGTAGAATCACATAGCACTATACTGCAGAGTGTGGCAACACAAGAAAAGTGAATGTGAATATCAACATCTATAAGTCCTCCAATAATTATATAGAATTTCACCCAAATAATATTTCACCCAACAAACCCAAACAAATGTCACTCCGTGTAAGAAATCAAGCCAAACTCAAGTAAAGAAAAGAAAGAAAAAAAAAAAAAAAGTATTGATAGATCTATTCTCTAAATTAAAGAGCAAAAAATTGAGGAAGAAAAATGAATAAAAGAAATAGATAATTAACATAAACAAGGCGCACGTACTTAACTCATTTTTATCTATTGAAAGTAGTATACATAAAATACATTATTTGAAAGTACATGATTTTTTATATATTATCAAATAATGTACATTCAGTACATAAATAATGTACTTTTAGTATATTAAAAATGTATATTGCATTCATGGTCCACACAATAATTTTCCAATTAATTTCTGGGTCACATTAAGCAATAGATTTGGTTTTCAGTCCTTTTAGCTTAATTAATTGTTTGAAAATGCTGCAGCTGAGCCTCTTCATCATGCCTTGTATTCTTCTTCCTCCATTTCTCCTTGCCAAATTCACATTCTTCAACCACTGAAAGGGCTATTTCACTTGGCCTAAAACTAGGACCATGAAAAGATTGAGAAACCCATATATAATATACTTGCAGAAACCAAAGATGAGGCCTAATTACACTAGTTTTCCCTACAATGCTTTCTTTCTCTATTTACACCAGCACTCAATCTCCATCTTTCTTCTTCCACTTATGTTGCTCATATTCACCAACTGCTCTCAATGGGCTTTACAGGACTCGCAGTTGCTATTATCCTTCAAAGCTAGCATTTTTAACCAAAGCCCACTTCAAACTGGGTATCCTCTAAAAATCCCTGTAGCTTCACTGGTATTACATGCAAGGGCTCAAAGGGTCTCTTCTATACATCTCACAGACACTATGCTCAGCGTAGATTTTGCTTGGTTCCTACTTACTTGCTTAGTCTTGAAAACTTGCAGAACCTTGTGTTGAAGAACACCAATCTCAGCGGCTCTCTCACTTCTGCCTTAAAATCCCAATGCTCTGCTTCTCTTAGCTACATAGATCTAGCTGAAAACTTCATCTCAGGGCCTGTTTCTGATATCTATAGCCTTGGTCGTCGGTGCAATAATCTCAAGTCCCTCAACCTTTCCAGCAACTCCATGGACCCTCCTGGGAGGGAGGTTGCTGCAGGTGGAGCAACCATTAGACTTCAAAGTCTTGATCTTTCTTACAACAAAATTTAAGGGCAGAACATATTTGTTATGCTGTCCCCCAGTGATTTTCCCGATCTTGACTTGTTGTCTCTGAAGGGTAATAAATTATCAGGAAAAATTCCGGAATTGAGTTTTAGGAATTTGTCATATTTGGACCTTTCTGCCAATAATTTCTCTGAAAATTTTCCTCCATTTCAAGACTGCCTCTAGTTTACAACATCTTGATTTATCATCCAGCAAGTTCATTGGTAATATTGGTGCCTTCCTTTCTTCATGCTCCAACCTCAGTTTCCTCAATCTCTCCAACAATATGTTCTGGGGTAGTGTTGCTAAGCTGCCTAGTGGGAGTTTGCAGTATTTGTACCTATGGGGAAATGATTTTCAGGGGGAGCTTCCAGGGCATATTGGATATTTATGTACAACTCTTGTGGAATTGGACTTGTCTTCCAACAACTTTTCAGGTATGGACGTATGGTCCCTGAGACACTTGTTGATTGCTCAGCCTTGGAACTTCTAGATCTTTCCAACATTAATTTCTCTGGTGAGTTGCCTGTAGAAACCCTACTAAATTTGACTAGCTTGAAGACATTGGTTTCCTCGGGTGGGGTGGCAGTCATATGGGCATCTTTGTCAATACTAGCAGATATATTTTAATGGTTCATTTCCAATCCAAATGATTTGAGCCATTTAATTTGTGTTCTGTGATTCTTGCATTAACTGGAAGAATATCGGACACAACTATAGACTTAGGCTCAGACATTAGGCTATCCAACAAGAAGATATCTCAAATCAGACAACCAAACTTCCAGAATCAGACCTCTAAGCCACAACAAACACACAAACAGCCACACAACTTCACTGTCTAGCAAAGCAAAAAATAAGAGGGATATTACCGGGACCTCCAATGCCAAAACCGAGCCTAGAGCAGCGACGTAGAAGACCGGGCGACCTCGGGAAAGTAGACCGGAGTGGATTCCGGCGCCGGAGTGACGCACACGCGCCGGCGCGTGGACAGCCGGCAAGGGACGAAGGTGGCGCGTGAGGGCCACTCGCCGGGCGAAATCACGTCGAATTCAGCAGTCCGGCCTATCGGCGACCGGCGACTCTGCTCCTGATGGTGGTGACGACAAACGGCCGGCGACAATTCCGACCCAAACCTCCACCGTGCGCAGAAGCAGAAAGAGGAAAAAAAAAAAAATTCTGTGTTTTTTTTCTTTATGTGGCTCTTGATACCATGTTCTAATCTCTGTATTCCATACAATTGAGTCAAGAGGATACACATATTTATACTAGGCTATGCACACTAACTATGGTAAGGATCAATAATATCCCTAAGATATTATACACACTATCCTAAGATATTATACTGAGATCATATCAAATATTCTTCTACCATATAATGTCTAACAGTTTTATCATTCAATAATTTTGTTGGTGGCTTATCTCACTCATTTTCTAGCTTGGTAAACTTAGAGACCTTAGATTTGAGTTCTAATAATGACTCTGGTTTGATACCCTCTGGGATTTGTAAAGACCCTAAGAATAGGTTGAAAGTGCTGTACCTTCAGAACAACATGTTCACTGGTCCAATACCTGAGAGTCTAAGTACCTGTTCTTAATTGGAATCTCTTGATCTTAGCTCTAATTACCTTTGGACGGCCACCTCATTTGAATATACAAGAACATAATAAGAAAAAAGTCGGAGTTTCAGGTATGTTTAATTAAACTCAGTTTGAATTGTTCCAGGCCGGTCTAAATATTTGACACCTAAATTAAAAGTATCCAAAGTGAATTTTGGTGTAGATATGGACTGGGCAGATGGAGTTGCTAAATATTATTATATTTAGGATAATCCAAAATTTAGTTCAGATATGATTAACTCCAAGTCCAAGTCCAAGTCAACAACAATAGACCAAGTCAGACTCTTTCAGTAGTAAAGGAAGTGAGTGATGAGCAGCAAGCAATAGAATAGAATAGGAAGACCAATTCAGCTAAGCTAAGGGTCCTAATTCTCATCACCATTATATTACATTAAGAGCTTAGAAGCACACCTGGTCTTATTAATTAGCTTATAATTGTTTGAAAATGCTGCATCCTCATCATCATGCCTTGATGTTCTTCATCATCATCCTCCTTTTCTCCTCCTTAAATTATTCACAATCTTTAACCACTCATGGTGATGATGAAAAGGGTATTTTACTTAGCCTAAAACAACAATACTGGGGAAATCCATCTTCACTTGAGCAGTGGAACTCCACTTCCTCCCCATGTGACTGGCCTGGAATTTCATGCAACTTCAATGGAAGTGTCACACGGATATCTCTCACTGGAATGAACATCCGAGGATCATTCCCGACCTCAACTATTATATGCCAGCTCAACAAACTTATTTCAATCAATTTCAGTAACAATAGTCTCTTTGGAACTATACCAGCTAACCTCTCCAGCTGCTCAAAGCTTGAAGAGATGGATCTATCTGCAAATTATTTGTCAGGAAATATACCAGGAGATTTATGTACAACTCTTGTGGAATTGGACTTGTCTTCCAACGGATTAGTAGGTGTGGTTCCTGAGACCCTTGGTGATTGCTCAACCTTGGAACTTCTAGATCTATCCAAAAATAGATTCTCTGGTAAGTTGCCTGTTGAAACCCTACTAAATTTGACTAGCTTGAAGATACTGGTTTTATCATTCAATAATTTCGTTGGAGGCTTGTCTGAGTCATTGTCTAGCATGGTAAACTTAGAGACCTTAGATTTGAGTTCTAATAACATCTCTGGTTTGATACCCTCTGGGATTTGTAAAGACCCTAAGAATAGCTTGAAAGTGTTGTACCTTCAAAATAACCTGTTTACTGGTCCAATACCTGAGAGTCTAAGTAACTGTTCCCAATTGGAATCTCTTGATCTTAGCGTTAATTACGTTAAAGGGAATTTACCATCTAGCCTCGGGTCCTTGTTGA